CCCCTCTTCATCAAACAGGCTAATACAGTCAGCAATGTTAACACTGGCCCAACGCTAAATGCCAATATAGAATTGAAGGCCAGGCTGTAAAATATTTGAAATTTCTTCAGTTTCTGGACACCTTTACTACTTTTAAGTCTATTTAGACCAGTAAAGATTTTAGCAGAGATTGTTAGTCATCTTGTGCTTGAGATACTCAAGTATAATTTTCAGGAGGGCACTGAAAATAATCAATGCAAAACCCTCTCTGTGCCTCCCCGAAAAAAAAGGGCATGCAAATCAAAAGGATTTATATTCAACATTTATAAATGATACTGACAATAAGAGTTTTTGTAGAAGTAAATTACTCACCTAAAAACATAAGCAACCACCAGAGCCAGGAGTCAGCATCTGCATATCCAGAACCACTGATCCAGTGACTATGCTACAAAGGAACATTCACCCATGTTAGAGTTATTATCAAACATATCTTAATAAAACTTAAGGACATTAAAAAAAATACATATCACTTGACTAAACTTCATTAAAGATTAAAAAGGAAAATTATTGGAAAAATATACTGTTGAAATTACTCTCACATCCAATGCACATGACTGGAACCTACAAGGAAAAGGGCAGAGGGGTAAGCCATATAACACATGGTGCCATGACATAAAGGCAGATACCAAGAAACTAGGCAGCTTGGAGACAGCTTGAGATGATATTGGACATATGAAGGGAACTTGAAGGTCACCCATGCCCCACAAGAGGTAATAAGCATATTGGATCCAAAGATGTCAACTATACTCACAAGCCATTTGATCAATGTTGTTTCAGATTACCCCTCAAAGAACCGATTTGACAGATAGTCTTCTGACTGAAGTCGGACAAGGGACTGGGAAGGGGAATATTCAAAGTCATACAGCTTAGTTTCCACTCAGTTATTTACTAGTCAACCAAACTGTTTGTCTAGTAGTCACACTCAGATCCATAACAGCTTTAAGTGTCAAAGCCAAACTCCATTTGATTTTTTGCTTAACAGTGTAATATCACTTGAGCACTATTTCTTACCTGGACAATGGCCACCCACTTGACCATAGAGAGTCCAAAGCCAGCAAAGGCTCCAAATCTACCAGCTATAGTGGTGGATGCACACATGGCAAACAACAGGCCAAACCAGTTGAACAGGAATGCAACTGAAGCAATACAAGATAACTGACTAGACGGACAAAATACTGACATTTGGCCAAATATTAATTTGTCAATATGAAAGTTATAATTTGAGTTTACTATCATTTTGATAACTTACAGTCATGGTTCGTTCATATTATGATTCCTTATAATCTAAAATGTGTCCTGATTTTGGATTCAAGAAGAGGAAAACAAGTTTATTCCCACGATACAATATTCTCATTTTTAAGCTTATTACAAAGCTTACTTTCATATATCTAATCACAGAAAAACTCGAGGTGTTCACTTATCTGTTAATGAATTAATTTATGCATTCTTACTCTTTCTAGCCCTAAGTATCTACTATAAGATTCTTTCACTTATATTGTACTTTGTTAGAGGCAACCTACTTAAAAATGTGCACATGAATATCCCATCTGTCCCAAGGGTCAGTTCATCAAACTGTTCACTTGAAACTTGCTGCAAACAGGTGATAAAATATCATAAATATTCAAACTTTCTTCACCTGGTTAAACCATCTTTTAAAAAGTCAGTCTAATATGATAATGTTACAGCTATAACTACATCCCCTTAGCAGGAAACTAGATCAGACATATTCACATTTTAATTCAAATATCATTAGAAGAAACAGTAATTCAATCAATAGGTAAGTATCAATATGCAGTATCAATCCTCTTTAAATATTTTAAAGTGTTGTGGTACAAATAAGAAACTAAGTAGAAATGGATTGATTTTTTTTTTACAAATAATTTTATCAAAATTCTCTCACATCAAAGTAAGAATTGCTTTCTTCATCATGTTTCATTTGTTGCTTCGATATCTCTGCTTCTTCATAACTTGGCAGTTTAGTGGCCACATCATATGGTGGTGGGATAAAATCAGACTCCTTGTACGCTGAAAGGAAAAGTCCCATCATTTTAGCTATATGAAAACTGTTATGTCATCACCCCAATGCATTTTTGAAGTGACAGGATTATCTCATAACATGACCATGTTTATATCTGCATTATCTAAGTGGATAAGGAAATAGATCCTTAAATATCAATCCACTTTAAACTGAAAATGTCATTATCTTAAACCTGTGTTTGCCATCTTAGGTTCAAATCTGATTATTATCTGAATGGACTAAAATAAAAACTTTTTTTACTATTCTAGTCCAACAAATCTACAACTGATTTAAAAAGTGCTTATTCAGCTTTTAGACTCACCTGGTGGTGGGGTTGTGTGAACTTCACTGTGTTCCATAACTGAGGGTTGTGGAACAGGCGCTACCACCATGGCCAAAGGGACTGCCTGGGCTGGTACGGAAGACTCCTCCTCCTCTTGGAGCTATAATATACAGGGGCGTAACCAGACCATTTAAAATTGTACGCACAAATTTTGAAAATTCCCAGGTACGATTATATTCCGTGAAAAATACACTAATTTAAGGAGAGTAATATCATGGTTGGCTCAAAAAATTGTACGCACAGTGCATTCATGCGTATGCCTGGTTACGCCCCTGATATACACACACCAAGCACATATATTCACTTAGTGGCACAACACAAAAAAAAAGCATAATTTTACTTATGATATTATGGAAGGTTTGTAATTATATTCGCTTGTGATAAAAGATGCTTTCCATCAAATGACACTGTAACAATATATTCATATTTCTTAATTGATATACACCTTCACAAATAAGGCACAATCATGAGCATAGACTACTATCTACACAGTTTCACAAATAAATATGACTAAAAAGTTAAATGAAATTAAAAGACGTGGCAAAATATCATAATACCACCTATTACATATAAAAACAATAACCAAGAATTATTTTCTAATTACCAAAAATAATAAATCCGTTGATAAACGAACCATACACACAATAACGCTACATTCATTATCAAGCCATTCATGGTCAATTTTCTAGCATCATTTATGATCTATCATATGTAAACATGATGAGAAGGGAGAATATAATTTGGTCATGATAATCCAGATTGTATTTGGATGAGCGAAGTCAAAATATTTCAATCACACAATCAAGAAGATGAAGGTATTATCAAAGCTCACTTACGACTTGATATCTAGCACCACTTTCCATTCTCCATGCACTGTTTATCTTTTTTAGGTGCGAGGTTTTCCCTGTAACTTTCGGCCGTAAAATATAAACTGTCACGGACAAAGAGAAAAGCAAACGGGAGTCTCTGATTGGACATTATATTAATTTATCTTTTAATAAAATTTATTTCTACATTTTATTAACTTTGGGCATATTTTTTCAGTATAAGTCATTTTCCGAAGATGGATAAGTCTGTTCACTTTTTTCTTCCAGAGATAAAACCAGTTTCACAACATTTCGTGCGGGATGACAAAATTGTTTGATTTCCGGTTGAACAGCAGACGGCAAGGTTGACCTGCCTGGCAATAATTTGCGAATAAAACACTTTTGTAAGTGCTTAGATATTTGAATAAATACAGACTGTTGCATTTCATTTGCGTGGATTCAACTGGTATGTTTTTTTGTGTGTGTATGTTATGATAGGATAAAAGAAAAATGTAGGTTTCCCTTGGGTTGTACAGTAGTGTTTCATAATAAAATGTCAACTAGTTTCATAATTCCATTCTTGGCTGTTACGTTGATCTGTAAATTAATCTAAAAACCACTTAAAACGGCTGAAGGGTACCACCCTAGTGAGTGTAATGCCACAAATAACGACCAATATCGGTTTAGTATTTTAAAACGAATTTTAAGCCGACATTTATACGTATGCCATACCAGTACTATAGTAGTTTAAAAAATGCACACCTACAGTTTGTGTCTCTATAGTTAATGTACAGACTGTTGACTTGTTCAGAGCAGCAGTACTCAGTGTCTAATACCCACAAACATTCTCTTTCCCGTCACGTCAGTGCCAAGCAGGTCCTGCAACCATAACTTTTTCAGATTCAGTTGTTTTTTTACTCATTTCCAGGTAAAATTTAATTTTCATTTCTGATGATGAAAAGTTTAATAAGACTAATGACATGGCCACATCAACAGAAACTATTATCCAGGACACTCGGCTTGCAGAAGACAGCATCTTGTCGCCATTGTTCACAACAGCAGACCATTGAAGCTAGGCATTTGAAGCAGAATCCTCTCACCTTCACAGAAGACAAGTTTAATGGTGTCACTGTGGACTTGGCACAGATTCCTGTTGAAAAGTCTGAATATGATTTCCAAAATATTCTTGAAGGTATTAGTGACAGAAAAAGTGTCTTATTATCTTGATCATATTTTACCTAGTATATTATTTTTAAAAAATTAAACGAAAGATTCAACTTTTTGTAATAGCTTACTTTAGTTGTATATTGCAATTTTCTCTGCAGAAGTGGGTCATGATTTGTAACTGTTAAGAATTATATATGTTCCAGATGCACTGTTAGAATGGAAAAGCTTAGGCAAAAGAGCTGTGTGGTTGAAGGTACCCATCCAGCAGGGCAGGTTTATTCCAGTGGCTGCCAGGAAGGGCTTCACCTTCCACCATGCAGAGGGTGACAGTGCCATGTTAACTCTGTGGATGGATAACACTACAGAATCAAGACTGCCAAGATACGCCACACATCAAGTTGGGGTAGCAGGTACAGGTTAAGCTGAAGATGATTTCATCTGACTTAAGAAAATATGGAATTTATTTATGGTTGATTTAGTTAACATTTATTATTTTTCTTGTATTAAATAAATGAAAATAAATAAAACTTCACAATAAAAGCCAGAGGCCCAACATAATTTTAAGTGAAAAGTAAACCCATTGAATATTTGTTATTCATGAGAGTAGCACCAGAAAACATGAAAGTTCATTGTTAAAGATGAGAAGTGTATGAGGAGTTCAGTAGAACTGACACAGACAGCATTTGAAAAAAATATAGTCTGTGCTTCAATGTGAAAACTGATTACCATTTTATATTTGGGTGAATGAAAGTACTAGGTGGATGATTAAATAGAAATATCAACATGTGAATTAAAATTAAAATATGTTTTTTAAGTACATGTAAGTAGTGCAATTTGGAAATTTGGCACTTTTCAGATGAGTGTTTTAATTGCCAGATGTTTTATTATAATAACATGCCCTATGCAGACTGAAACATTGAAAATAAATTTGCTATGTAGACAGCAGAAAAATAGTTCTTTGACCATAGCTAAATTAAATGTACAACAAAATATAGTATTATATCATCATCTTTAACTGCACTGAGAAGCCTATACTGTGTGCCCATATAAGTAAGATGGGTAGAGTATAGTGCAGTTGAAGATTGAAACATATATGTTAAATTTTCTTTGCATAGCTTATTTTATTATAGTAGTATTTTTTAAATTCTTGTCTCAGGGTTTGTTTTGAATGAGAAAACAGGGGAAGTTGTGGTTGTAATGGACAAGCACAGAAAGGTGAGTAAATTTACAAAGATTCATAACATTTTGAATCTGAGACCCCATTCCCATAGATACTTTCAGTCTTCATGGATCTACTCAACTCTGTGGGGACACTCTCAGAGTACAGTCAGCTTAACTGAATGACACACCGCCTCTTGTTTCAAACATACTTGTATAATCACCAGCTTTTCTGTATTCTATTTAATGCCCGGAGGAGGTGTATCATTCAGTTGAGCTGATTGCAGTCAGCGAGAGTCCCTGCAGAGTTGGGCTGATCCACATAGACCTATCTGTGGGAATGGGGCCTAAAACTAAGACAAAATTTGCCAGAACAATACACATAACTATGTGGTCCCTTTAAGAAAAAACCTTTTGTTTGTTTGTTTTTTGGGAGAGGGGTATTATTCTGATCTTGCTTGATACATTTTAAACTGGACTAACAAAACCAGAAATGTACTTTTTAAATCCGTTTTCTGACTCTCTGTTGCTGAACATGGACTTGTTTAGAATTCTTTGTTGAGGTCCCTACATAATCTGATCATCTGGATACTTCACTTGAATTTAGTTTATTACTGGGTTTGGAGGCAAACAAACCTTAAGAAACTGCTGTAAGCCTGACTGTAGTATAACATTGTTATCTCTGACTTTCAGCGTCCCTTGTGGAAGTTTCCTGGTGGATTATCAGACTTAGGGGAAGATATAGGTAAGACTTTTAATTGATGAATATTACAGTATAAAAGTATCTTAGAAAAATACTGTCACATTGAATTCTTTTTTATCAAATAATACATACAAGCTTATTTTGTATAAAAAATGATGACATAAAAGCACAGTGTATATTATGCTTACTCTTGTTCATATGATTTATTTAAAACATAGATCAAAGAGAAACCATTCATAAATACTTTGTTATAAATAATCCCCTGGTACAGTAGGTATCTACTTATTTGTACAAATGATAACTACCCACTTCTTGAAAATCTGGTCACCAAATAATAACATATGGAAATTGACTGACTGTTAAATATATATATAAATAAATTGGCCCTGCAAATGAAAATAATAAAAAGCGGGTGTTAAAAACCCTTATTAAATACCCACTTCAAAATAAAAAGGAATACTACTAGTACTTATACATAGTGATCTAGAGTTATGAACTGTTACCTTGTGAGAGGTCTTACATATTATATGTAAGTTGGTTAACAAGTGCAATACAAATATGCAGTAGAACACCTTGTTAATAGTAGTATAGAGGTATGTGTAGGTTTTTTAAGTAAATACATGAAAATCAGTGCTGTACAAATATTTTAAAGTTAATAATCTTGGTCTTGTACTACCAACATAATTGTAGAGTCAAATTCAGCTTGATGCACAATTCAACTTCTGCACAATATTGTTCCTATCTTGATAGGTCATAACTTCAATAACTCACTCTACATTTGAAACAAATAGATTTATCTTTAAAAATTCATAGTATAGGATGGTAGATTTTAAAACATATTCAATACTGTGAGAATAAGTCTAATTGTAGGAAATGCCAAACATATGGTACTAATGCCAAGCTAATACATGTATCTTTATATGGCCTGAATGAGTACTTGTTACATTGGTTACAGCCCAGCTACATGTATGTACAATGCTACATGACAGTAAAAAAAAAACATATTAGGAGGTAAAAAGGATTTTAAATTATTTTGATAAATATTAAAACTATTTACACATATATTACTCATTGACAACTTCAAAACCTGAAGCCATAAAGAAGAGTTGTTAATAATTTTAACTATATGTACAAAGTTTGTGTCCTCTGTGGCAAAATTGGCATTTGGGTTTTATTTTGCCCACAATTAAGATAGTCATGGAATAATGTCGTAAGTTTCAGCTTCCCAGTTTTCTTCAGTGTCACTGTTAATAGTACTATTATCTTCTTCATAATTGGCATCTGTATCATTATCATCATTATCATCATCATTAGACCCATCCGTGCTACTCTCTTTCTTTTCTCTTGATTGTCCATTGTTTTTGTTGCTGTGATGCAAATCCTCAATCAGCCAAACAAGGTTTTCAACCAAAGCCATCACTTGGCCTTGATTAATTATTATTTTATACAAATCCCTCTTGTCTATGAGCATAAAGTTTAAGGATATAAACTCAGTACATGACCTCAGCAATGTTTGCATGTTGTATCTGTGGCCCAAGATGAACCTTTCGCTTATGTTCTCTTTTGTGATGGTCTCACAGAGGGAGGCCTCACAGATGTCTTTCAGTGTGCCTCCAGGACTCTCGGCCCATTCTGAGACAGCTCCTGGGAAATCTTTGTCATTTGGCTTGTCTCTGGGGGACTTTTTGTGCACTTGGTTAGCTCTGAAGTCCTGCATTGGGGGATAGTCATCTGGATGCTTCACACTTACTAAGATGTCTATTAAAGGCTCCATGTTAAATTCATATTCATCTTCTGAAGACTCCATTTTTTCTGAATGGTCTTCCAAAGACTTCATTTGAGTGAATGATTGGCTCTTTTCCTGAAATGGTTTTAGATACATAGTATCAGTCATAGTGCGTGTTAGGAAAAAAATACTAACTATATCTTGAATATGAAGTACATTGCAAAATATTCAAATTAGCCCTTATAGTCTGATAAATCAGATAAATCTACCTATGATTAAGCATAAATATGCTATCTTCATTTGCTAAATGAAGAAGCTAAATGAAGAAAGTTAAAGCAGTTGCAGTTGTTTGAAGCTTATTTGCCATATTCTATAATACAAACCTCCACCACTCTGTGTTATATTGCTAAGTTAACAGGAGCTTACTGAAAGTGGAAATGATAGTTTCTATACTCAAAATGCACCATATGTATACGCCACCTCCTATGGTCTTGTCTTACTCACATCAATAATATATTGTATACATATATTGATTCAAACAACTTACGTATGAAGTGTTTACTTTGAACAACAGCAATCAATTTGATAATACTGCCCAGCTGTGGTTATGTAATTTCTCTATACATTGATGTAATATCTGCATGAATGGGACAGAGAATGTGGAATTGTGTAAAATGCATTAATATATAAATTAATATTTTTTCCCAATTCACATTATAGATATGTGTGTTCATATGACATACATAAAGAGACATTGCCCAGCTTTTATCAGTAGATTTCAGAGTATTTTATTATAGTATAAAAGTCTATTCAGTGCACTTTTGACTACTTAGTTGTTCACAGCAACTTGACTCAATTTTACAATTTATCATGCATTGCAAAATTTTAAAGTGAAGTCCTTTCCAACATCCTTACAGTTTCTGAAGTGACATACTGGTCGTCCCGGACATTTTGATCAACCTAATTGTGGACATTGTGGTCACTTTATATCCTTTAACCTTACCCTTTTGAATATATGGAGCTTTTGCATACAAGCATTTACCTTTCTGAAGGCTACAAATTCCTAGTTGTTTGACAGATGGATTGGTGTTTAAAGATGTTGATTATTTCATTATGTACACATTTCTTTTCATTTAAATTACTATATTGTGATTGAACCTGTAGTCCTTACTCTTGCCTAATAACCTAGTCTTATTAAATACTATGTTGTTAATGAGTGAATTATTTTAGTCATCTAGTAGAATAGATCAGTCAGTTGCTAATGCCAAGTACAGTATCAGAGTTGGACACAATTCTCACTATATTGTTAATGTCCATATGTTGAATATGTATTGATAATTGCCTGTAGTTTTGCTTCCAACTTTGCCTCTCTAATGCTGGAACTTATACTTGTGGCTCACATGCTGTAGATATTGCTTACCTAATTTGCTATGAACTCAAATTTCTCTGCACATAGAATACTCTGCACCCAGACTCTGCTAAGTACTGAATGCTATGTATATAACAGATACCATATGATGGCCATCTCATTATTAACATTGACCAGGCTATGATATAACCTTTCAGATAGTATAGCTTTTACGTCAAATGCAACTCACCTGATTAAAATGAAAATGTGTTTCACGGGTAACTTAAATTAAGACTGTGTTAACTAGAAGCAGTGAAGTTAAAGTGTAAAATGTTAAAACATACACAACTTACAGGTACCTGTACTTAATATATGTCCAGGTATGAGAATAATTAAGTAGATATATATGTATCACGGGCTAGTCATCAGCTTAGATGAAATCTCCTGCATGTTTAAATTACATCAGTGATAGCCTTGGCATACCCCTATACCTACCAGTGTCAGCGGTTAAGTCATATCCAGGTGTGAACACAAAATAGACATGATAGTCCATGGGATAGGTGCTTCCAAGTTAGATGATCACCTGGCCAGTAATTAAGGCCCTGCTTCCCCATGAATGGTCAGATGTATATCTCAGCACAGGATATGGTATTATAATCACCGTGGGGTAATGATGGTATATACAGGTAGTGCTGATCCTCCCTGCAGGACCATATGGACCAGTCAGAAACTTGAGATTTGTCTTTCCTGCCCACTTTTTCAAACTTAATGGTGCAAAATGATATGTTGAAAGATGGAGGTGTTCTTAAAGATGGAGACTCACTGGTAGTTTGGAAAAAAATTGATTGAAAAAATAACAAGGTTACAGCAAAATGCAAATATTACTACTGTTAAGGGAACTACAAATGTCCTTAATTAGCATGAAATGCTTGGAGCAAGTGTTAATGAAAAATATAACAAGTTATGATAATTACTGAAAAAAAACTCTTAACATTTTTTAATTGAGAATGATGCATTAGTTGTTTATATGCTTTTGGAAGACATTAACAACATTCCACATAACGGCAGTAGTTCTCAGTATTTTAAAAAGAGCAAGTGGAGGGCTTAATTACAATCTAAAGATAACATACCTGAAGACTGTAATCTTTGAGATGACTTTTGTCAGGTATTTACAATAGAGATGGAAGGCCATTGTTATCTTAATGCAGCAAATCATACTAAAGATAACTAGGTGGTCAGTCCATGTTGATTGCATTTAGAGTAAAGAAGTATTTGTATTAAATTACAATCAGTCGGTTTAATTTGCAGAGAGGGGAAAAGCATATTGCTCAGACACTTGACAACAATCAATTATATTACTAGTTGTTTCATATTAAAACACTAATTCTGCGATGGATTTTATTATGCCTTTCACATTTTATGCTTTTTTCATGCAGTATGAAATGGTCATTTAGTTAATGTTATTTTATTTTTCATTTACCAGAAAATACAGCAGAAAGAGAAGTTTTTGAAGAAACTGGAATAAGAGCAAGTATGTCAAAATTTCACAAAAAAATATAGAATTGGAATTTGCTGAATATTTTGCCTTTAAAAGGATACCTCATATTCAATTAGAGAAGCTCATTTTTAAAATGAGAAGAATGATTTTATGAAATAAACTATTGGTCTTAATTGATCAGTCCAACTCTGCAGGGATTCTAGCTGAATATAATGATTAACACGCCCCCACCTGGCATTAAGTAGAATACAGAAAAGCTAGTGATTATACGAGCATGTTGCAAACAGCAGGAGGCGTGTTAATCTTACAAACTGATTGCATTCAGTAAGAATCCTTGCTGAGTTGGATTGATCTATGTAAAACTATAGTTTTATTGGGAATGTGCCCTCAAGTACCCGTAATATATTAATAGCGTTCAAGAGTACCAAATTTATTTATGAACAACGGAGTGTCCTAGCTTACACTTTAATTTTATCATTTACAATTGAAGTATTCAAAACTAACATTCTTTACGTTATCTTATTCCATGCTTAAATTTTAGAGTACCAGAGCATTCTTACCATGAGACAGCATCATGACCACCCTTCAGCCTTTGGGCGCTCTGACATCTACATCATCTGTCGCCTCTCGCCTGAGACATACGACCTTCACCCCTGCTCTACTGAGATCTCGGCCTGCCAGTGGATGCATGTGAAAGAACTTCTGTCACACGAGGATACCTCATCACTCACTAAAACTCTGTGTAAACTGGCTCTTTATGGACTTGAAGAAGGTTTTCATAAGGTGGACATTTCCTCTGAGATACATGAGTCTATATACCAAGGTTACCAGTTTAAACTGTTTCATAGGCCACTGCCAAAGAAGTGGAGTTGATGTGGCCTTTCTAAATGAAGGCTAAAGATTTTAGATCATTTGTTTTTGCTTCTCATCAAGGCCAGGATACTTTTTGTGTTTTGATGCTTTTTAATATTTTATAAAGATATAAAATTTTGTAAGTAAAATATATATATGTACATATATATTTTTTCCTTCACTCTGTCAAATATGATCTAGTCAGTTTGAAGTTTTAGTCTATGAAGGCATTTAAAAGAATAGTACAGAGTGCGAAGATTCATATGTGGCACACGTGAAAATGTATTCCTGTGCATGTGTCTAGCCATTTAAAACTGTTGAACGATGATACTGTATAAATGATGCTTTGATGAAAGAACATCTCATTCAATGTGTATACATGTGTATACATGTGTATAAGAGCTCTTAAAATTACTGATTATGACAATAACTATGCGATATGCAAAGGGGGAATGGAAGTAGCATGTGTGGAAGGTGGGTCTCATGTCACAGGTTTTTATTTTTATTTATTTTTTATTATTTTTGTAAAGACAGGAAGTAAGTAATTACACGTCTTTGCTTTCTTCATTCCAAATTTGCCCATTAAATATGGCACAGGTGCTGATCTATTAAATGCCCCAATTTTTAGGACTCTTAGTGAGCGTGCCATTCCAACTCTTATTATAACTTGCTAGATCACTTCAAAAATGTATACATAGATAGATGTATGCTTTATCAAGAACTGTACATTCTTGGTATTATGAATACTAAATTTTAACACTTTCACAAATTCAGGATTGCATATGTTTGTTTCAGTATTTTTTTCAATATGATGTAATGAGGGTGCATCTCCAAAATGCATGGTTTCTTTAAGTTCAAATTAATTATATACTTCCAAATATTTTATTTGGGTGTGGTGACTTAAAAAAATTGTTTTCACTGATGAAATTGGAGTTTCTACAAATCATCTTGTGATAGTTTCCTTTATGAAATATGTAATCAGGTAGCACAAGTTATGATCATGTATTAAGCATTACCATATATGATAATCACAATAAAAAGTTAATGAATAAATGAATGCTTTGTTGTGCCTGGATGTGGAAGCATATTGTACAGTATGTGGTGTGAGAGAGCTGTAATTTTTCAAATGCGATAGTTGAGATATGAGCACATCATACAAGTACTGGTAGAGATTCTTTAAATCACATCTACTGCAATTTGCTATGGATACAGTGAGCAGTTCTAACTTCCTTGCAATAACATTGATTACACATTCATCCAGAATTTCTGAGAAAACTGAATTTGAATTTTGACTTTCTTATATCATTTCAGTTAAAAAACTTGCTGACAAGCTTTTTTTTTGATAGATCAGCTAATTGGGTTAATTTCATTATCATCTCAGAATTAAACTCAAGATGTATATGTAACTTTTATAAATTTGTATTCTAGTCTTGAAAATAATTCAAAATTTCAAATTAATTTTCAGGAAAGGACCACAAGGGTGTTTATGATAATATTCCAGTATGTTTGAATTTGCACATTGGTAATCTCTTCAGTAGTTTCCTGCAGATTTCCATCTCTTTTGCAGTACAGCTTTGCATTAATAATTAACACATTTGGTCTAAATCAAATGGCATTACTAAATGAAGACAAAAACAAGGAAATACTTTTCAGATCAAAGCATTTATTTACAAGCTAAAAGCACAAATAATTACAAAAATGAACAAACAAATCCCGATTAATATTATAATACTATTAATACTTAAGCTAAAAACAGAGACAAAGAGACAAATTTCACCAATTTACAGAAAATACATTTTAAGACATCCCACATGAAATACAAATATGTTGGTGTACTGATTGCTATAGCAACCAATGTAAATAAGCACCTTCTGAACCAGTGACTTGAAGGAAATTTCCCATATGGAACACGAACTAAATTTGCTTGATAGTGGCACTAAACTGAGTGTAAAGTTGGTCTCTTGAGAAAAATCAGAAAACTAATAGAAGATGGTTGAAATGCAACTTTGTCCAAAGCTAATTATATGTCATGAATCTCTCAAGATAAGATAAACAATCTATTAGGAAAAGTTTGTTTTGTTACTTAAGCCTAAATACTGAAACAGGCAAGATGCACAAAATGTCAGCAGCAAGTTAACTCGGTCATCAATACTGATGATGTGAACACCACGTTTTGCTTCCATACAAACTAAGATGTGACCAATCTAAAATCTGACTTCCGTCCCTTAAAAAAAAAAAAAAAAAAAACATCACATGGTTTCACAAAATGTCATGATCCAAGTAAATTCGTAAATTCTTACTGTACACTTTGTTGCAATGCTGTTTGGTAAAGATTTACCAATTTTGTCTATTACTCATGAATTTGACTCAGAATTCTACATTTTACTAAAAGCAGATGAAAATACCCTATTAATATAATTCTAATGCAATTACTACCCTAGAATCTATTCTACCCTCAGTGTAAGTTGTGCAACCCAAGTTGTCTATCTTTGGCAAGAAATTAGCTGTATGTTACATTGGCTTCTGAATTGCAGGTGCCCTCCAAGTTCTGCAGCTGTCATTGTGATAGGTGAGACAAGCAATTACTGTTGTCAAGCTAAGCACAATGTTACAATAACCATTGTGATAGCAGTTGTACAATTGCATCCAATGTGACTTGTTGTGTGAAGCAGAGTTGGGAGAGCAGCTAACATATTCAGCTAAAAGTTTAAAAACCAAAACCAAATTATTGAAGTAAAAGCTATCTATATGTATCTGAAATGTTTCTACATTTTCTAAACTACACACCTAACACTAGCTATTATGTACAGCTAATTGTCACCTGCAATTGTTGAAACACATCATTATAAACTTCCACTTCAAGTACATGTACAGTACATTAAGATTTCAATTCATTCTTTACATTTAATGATTTACAACAATCACATATAAATACCAATCATTTAACAAAGACAAATTAAATATGTATATGATGACTACTCTACTTAAGTATAACTTCCAAGCTAACAAAGCCTTGCATGCATAAAAAGAAGCTTTAAAATAAAAGCTGGTTTCATATGACGAAGAGAAATCACTGTGATCGTCATCAAAGGTCAGGTGACACTCTGCATGGCATCATGGGATTGACTGTACAAGAAGGTCATCTTGTGGAGTATGACGTACATCTTTTTTTTAAAGAGCACATGTCAAGTAAGTCAAATTCAGCCACTTATGCAAAGTGAGACTCCTTATATCCAATAAAAAAATTCTTTAATCAAAAGTTACTTTTTTATGAACTGCATCAGATCACAGGACATTCTTCTTCAAATCCAACCTGTTCTTTTTATTTAATCTTAATTATTTCAAATGATAACTGCACAAACAAAAATTGTAATGAGACATTTTCAACAGCATTATATGTGCTGTCAAATTAACAACATGAAAGTAACAGCTAAAACGGGGGCTACACACTGTGAAGGTTTAGAAAAGCAGTTCTATATCCCACTCCTAGTGTTATATTACCACTGAGATCTTAGAAAACTGGCTGAGAAATCTTTTCAGATTTTCTCCAAAGGGCGCACTCAGTACCATAATTACTCAAACTGGAAATAGGCTTACTACTGACTTCAGATCATATACTAACCACTTGACTCGGATATTCAATTTCATGTTGACCAAGTCATCAGGTCATATGTAACTCTCTCTCCATTTTTTTTCTTGTTTAAGTAAACATGGTTTTTAAGGCCCCTTCAAGTACACTATGGCATCATGCGAGTGAATACCAAGGTCTAAGTTATAGTATGCACTTTTGAAGTGACAGGAATATTAAGCTACAATAGTGACAGCATTGAACACACTAATAGTTACAATATTTATGTATTTGGCCAGTGGCACAAATGTCGAGTTGTCACGAATGTAAAATTTATATGACAAGCTTACGATGGCATTATGAAACTTCACAACCAAAACAGTTCACTACACTGACAACAGAATAAAAAACAACACTTAACAGAACAATGTCATTACAAATAGTGTTACATCTAAAGATGGCAGCTTTAGGTTTCACCTTTTTAAACACCGCTAATATGAGAATATACTGTCCTCCTGCACAAGCTAATTAACACAACTAAAATTCAACACAGATACATTTAAGCTAAAATATATAATAATGTATTTACAGAAAGATGCAGCGTAAACTGTGCACAGCAAAGTTGCAAAATCTAAATAACAAATCCATAAAACAAACTGCTTAAATAACTATAAACTGAAGCAAAACATTAAGGGTAACTATGCTTATATTCATAATCATACAAGATACAAATATACATATATATATATATATAGATCATACTAAAAACTGTCAAGTTAAAGATATTTTGCAGAAGCTACTCCAATGATTACAAATATTAACATACATTTTAAAGCTACACACCAAAGTTTGTTAGAAAAAACAAAATCCAGTATACGCCATAACATGTCTAATATCTTGACTAAAATCTTGAATAGCAGTAATTTCTAATTACACTTATAAGGCACATTTCAATATGGAAAAAAAAATACGCTGGAGCAAAAGTGTGCAGTGCAGATCATACATGTATATCATTTTTAACTTCACACCCATTTTTATCACTAAAGGCAATCAAGCTTTGGTGTTTGTGTTGTTTTAGGGAGAACTGTGGGTGTTTTATGCAATTTTTCCATTAGAGATTTTTTTAGTCAAAATCAATTTCTTAAGGGGTCTGGCTGGCAAAAGTCAGGTAACATTGCATTCCCCCTACTTGTGTGCAAATTAAATAAAGGTAAAACAAGGCATTGGTATCTAGAAGATGGTGATATTGAGCTGGGCAGGTGTGCTACACAGTTACATCTACCTGAATGTCAGGTAATACCTGTGTATATGCATAGTTGAGCACTAGATTGAGACTATGATATGATATTGAGCAATTTTCAATATTCTTTTTTTTAAATCTATTTTTTTTTCTAATTGGCAATCAAAATATAGATTTACTAGAAATGTATATCTAATTTGTCTACAAATGACAGGCTATTCATTAAGCATGTAAATGGGATGATTGAGATTCTTAATCCATATACCAATGTGAGCATTGACTACCTTGGACTGACTTTCAGGGGCAACCAGTGTCATAGTACTTAATCTGATGCATAGAAAGGACACCTATGTAAATGTGATGGCTGGAAGGGGAGATGAGAAAACAACTGTGTCGTGTTTAAACAATACACAATAAAACAGTCCCCAGTTTTTTTTTTTTTTCGGAATCAGCAGTTATATATACATTGAGTGATCTGGTGTTGACAGAATGGGTGACAGAAAATGATGCCAGTGACATAACGGTGAGAGTGTGCGTAACTGTACAGAGTGGAAGACATGGGTGTCGTTGAAGCTCATACTCTTGCTTGAAAAAGCATTTATCATGCAATGAGTAACGAAATACTTCACAAATTACAATACTATGAAATCTGGGCACTATACAGGTGTAAGTTTATGGCAAATCAAGTCTAAAGATGCAATACTTTCAGAGAAGCCCTTGACGAGGACTTGGAGATCAGAGAGGGGGAGACTTTAGCCTGAGGAAATGTTCTATGGAGAAAATATATTGCCTAAATTTAACCACCTTAATTTACAACTTCATCAACAATATGAAATTCCCCATAAAACACCAATGTACATTCTTGATGAATGTTTTAATCATAAAATGCACATTATTAAAGGTGAGTTGAAGAGTGTCAAGGAATACCAACCACTGCTGGATTATTTCCTACCAATCTCCTTGAAGCATTTGTTTCAAATCTAAAAACATTTCAAAAGAGGAAAGTGTCTTGTGTCAGCATATAGCTTTGGCCATGTCTTATTCTATGAAAAACTTAGACTTGAATACAGACAAAGTTCTCTTACAAAATGCAGTTATTTTTAATAAAAGGCACTACAATGCCATTCACAATTAAACATTTATTTGATTGAAAACACAAAAAGCACCCTGAATGCCAACAAATATGCAAATGATAGCAGTACATCAAAAACTTTTT